TACTGATAATGAGAGACATGGATTGTATGCTGATAATGAGAGACATGGATCGTATGCCGATAATGAGAAACACGGATTATATGCTGATAATGAGAGACACGGATCGTATGCTGATAATGAGAGACACGGATCGTATGCTGATAATGAGAGACAAGGATCGTATGCCGATAATGAGAGACACGGATTGTATGCTGATAATGAGAGACATGGATCGTATGCCGATAATGAGAGACACGGATTACATACTGATAATGAGAGACATGGATTGTATGCTGATAATGAGAGACAAGGATTGTATGCCGATAATGAGAGACACTGATTATATGCTGATAATGAGAGACACGGATCGTATGCTGATAATGAGAGACACGGATCGTATGCTGATAATGAGAGACACGGATCGAATGCAGATAATGAGAGATACGGATTACATACTGATAATGAGAGACATGGATTGTATGCTGATAATGAGAGACAAGGATTGTATGCCGATAATGAGAGACACGGATTATATGCTGATAATGAGAGACACGGATCGTATGCTGATAATGAGAGACACGGATCGTATGCTGATAATGAGAGACACGGATCGTATGCTGATAATGAGAGACACGGATCGTATGTTGATAATGAGAGACACGGATCGTATGCCGATGACACACAAACCATATGCTGATAATGAGAAACACGGATTGTATGCTGATAATGAGAGACACGGATCGTATGCTGATAATGAGAGACAAGGATCATATGCCGATAATGAGAGACACGGATCGTATGCCGATAATGAGAGATACGGATTATATGCTGATAATGAGAGACACGGATCGTATGCTTATAATGAGAGACACGGATCGTATGCCGATGACACACAAACCATATGCTGATAATGAGAAACACGGATTGTGTGCTGATAATGAGAGACACGGATCGTATGTTGATAATGAGAGACACGGATCATATGCCGATAATGAGAGACACGGATCATATGCCGATGACACACAGAGCACGGCATATAACAAATGTGACAAACTAGTTCCGAACTCAACACTACGATTTTCTGATGAAGATGAATATTTATCACTTACAGCCATTCATTGAACCTGATATTAAAGACAATGATCACAATCACTGTGACTAGCAGCATCCAGTGTAGACTTGCATAATATTAGTCTAGACGACTTCAGAACGTTATCATCAGTGAGACCGCTCAGTGTCGCAACTCAATCTTGCAGTTATTCAATTGCAAGAGTCATAAATAAGACTGGGAGGCCAGGCTGGGATAGATGGGCTTTAATGACAATAACAGTAAAACTCAATGGTCTTACCACAAGTCACTAATGTTCTTATGTCCTTCTGACACTACACATATTTCTTCTGCTTCTATATGCTTCAGTAAAGAGAAGCCTACATCAACTTCAAAGCATGCACAATCAAATGATTTTATACATGTAAATAGGATTTTCCAGGTCTCAGTAAAACATCTCCCACTGGGACACTGTATACCCAACTCTTCAGAACAACAGCAGGTACCAAGGCAGGGCTGGGTAATAGGGGTCAGGTTTCCAGGTAGTAAATCTGGACTCGTCACAGCCCTAGTCATAGGTCATGTCAGCAATGTAAACTCACTTGAAACAGTCATACCCTAACACTGTTACACTCTCAGTAAATCTTACCCCAGCAGTGAAAACACTCTTACCCCAACATTGGACAGTGATAAGATTTTTACCCCAACCAGGATAACATTGTTACTCCAACAGTGATAACATTATTTTCCTAACACTGATAACATTCTGACCCAAACATTGATAAAATTATTACCCTGACTCTGATAACATTCTTACCCCAGCAGTGATAACATTCTTACCCAAACATTGATAACATTATTACCCTGACACTGATAACATTATTACCCTGACTCTGATAACATTGTTATCCCAACAGTGATAACATTATTTTCCTAAAACTGATAACATTCTTACCCAAACACTGATAACTTTATTACCCTGACACTGATAACATTCTTATCCCAGCAGTGATAACATTATTTTCCCCAACACTGATAACATTCTTATCCTAACACTGATAACATTGATAACATTATTACCCTGACTCTGATAACATTCTTACCCCAGCAGTGATAACATTCTTACCCAAACATTGATAACATTATTACCCTGACACTGATAACATTATTACCCTGACTCTGATAACATTGTTATCCCAACAGTGATAACATTATTTTCCTAAAACTGATAACATTCTTACCCAAACACTGATAACTTTATTACCCTGACACTGATAACATTCTTATCCCAGCAGTGATAACATTGTTACCCCAACCGTGATAACATTATTACCCCAACAGTGATAACATTCTTACCCCAGCAGTGATAACATTCTTACCCCAACATTGAACAGTGATAACATTCCCTACCAGTGATAACATTCTTATCCCAACAGGGATAAGATTATTACCCCAAAAGTGATAACAACATATTACCCCAACCATGATAACATTATTACCCCAACCATGATAACATTATTACCCCAACAGTGATAACATATAAGGAAATAAATCCCCTACAAGGCAATGATTGCATCAATAAACCAATAGACTTTCATGAGCTGCCATGATTGGAAATATTTGTATAAGCAAGGCATCAGGTGCACGTGCATCAGGCCAGGATGAATCTGAGAATCGCCCAGCATCTGTTTCCGTGGTAACATCTGGGTAATGGATGATGGAATCTGGTCCTGACACGCTGGATGCCGTGTGACACCTCGTCAGACTGAACCTAATCATGCTCATATTGTTATATATTCGAGAAGACGATGCAGCATCTGTAACTCACACTAGCAGTCACACATCTCCGGTCACAGATAATGTATAATCTTGAACGCATCTTAAAGTTCCAGTATCCATACTGACAGTGTGGGGGTAAGACTGAATGTTGTTTTGAACAGTGCAAATATTTCATCTTAAACTGTGAGAAAAGTACAAGGTGATGCTTGTCTTGATATTTACAATGTTGGTTAAAACCTCTTGCGCAAGGATTGTACGGTCTGTGTCATAATCCGTCAACCACATTACCTTTCACACTTTCTGTAATGTAAAAGCCCTAAATGAAGCAAGTTCTGAATTTCCAATCTCACTTGGCTCCTTTTCAATTTTAAAAGCAAATTAAGAAACTGGTTTCTATCAACATTACATATTTTCAGAGACTAAGCACCAGTCTAAGGTATTGTGCTCACAATGTGGCAGTGCCACAAAGAAATCGTAGCACAACAGACTTACGACCACCTTAGTGCTACGATTGCATAGAGGAATGGGTGACGCTGGACACACTGACTCCCAGCCTGGCTATTCTGTGGTGGTGATGTGGGCTCTGTTCCGCATGTCACACAGAACTAGATATATTGGCTATAAGCCCTAGGACAAGTGTGAGTGAATAAAAATTTAAAGTCATATTGGCAGTACATCAGCCAAGAGCCTAAATAACTTTTAGCCAATAATCTGGAACAATATTTGACATAATAAAAGGTATTTCGACTTTAGGGGGCCTTGAGGTTCGATCTATAGCAGTCTAGCCACTTGCCAGAGGCCTGAGTCAACTAAAACCTGTTGGTCTAGTCAATTCAGCTATTAATAGTCTAATAATAACATCAAAACTGGCACAAAATTATCCTTCGGTCAAGTTAGGACCAGTAGGCACAAAAGTATTAGGAACAGAGAACTACAGTATTTGAATCTGGACCCCTCAACCATGTAAATTGGATTCTTATGATTAGTTTGTTTTGATTGTTTCTTTATTTTCACCACACTCAGCAATATTCCAGCTGTATGACGACAGTCCGTAAATAATCAAGTCTGAACCAGATAATCCAGTGACTGACATCATGAGCAACCAACTGGGATACAATGTCATGTGATACGTCACAAGCCTGACCATACAATCCCATGATTCGCCTCTTACAACAAGCAGATTTTCAAGGGTATCTTAACATTAGTGATCCAATAATAACATTGACTCCTTGACTCCTTGACTCCTTGACTCCTAACGTAAACACTGGCTGGGGATGATTATTTTAAATTACTGCTTCTGGAGTCAATGTGACTATATTATGATATGCACACATTCAGCTCAGAGTGCAAGGTAACAGCAAGGTCATTTAGTGTATGCATCTCCAGAGATAAACGTTACACTCCTGATAAACGTTTACAGACACTGTAATGTGATATGACACAAGGCTCCTTAACGATGATAACATCAACATGACCATACCGGAATGGCTAACTTATTCTACTGTGCTGTACTATATAGAAATTACAGAAGAGATTGGACATTAGGGTTATATATTAGACATATCAGTTCCAGCAATTCTAACAGGAAATATGAAACTTTCCATTCAGCTCTGTGACAGTAGAACAGCATCAGTTTACGTGATCATAGTGGCAAAAACATATGGATACCCTGTCAGGTGATCTGTACAGGTGTTTCCACACATTGCTCTGTCATTTCACAGTAGGGATAGAACTGCAACTTTTTCTAGTGAGTGAGTGAGTGAGTGAGTATAGTTTTACACCACCCCCTTTAGCAATATTCCAGCAATATCACGGGGGACACCAGAAATGGGCTTCACACGTTGTACCCATGTAGGTACTGCATTATCATGGTTATATAGCCAGCTTTCAAAATTAATGTCCCATATGGGTACAATGTGTGAAGCCCATTTCTGGGGTCCCCCACCGTAATATTGCTGGAATATTGCTAAAAGCGGTAAAATCATACTCACTCACTCACTCACTCAAAATTAATGTTAGTATAAGACTTGAACAAGCATAAATCCAATTCTGGAACAGATCTCAATGAAACCGGTACCGGTATGTATAAAAACAACAACATTTTAATCTTGTTCAAGGAGGACTAGGTGTTCACTATTGATCTGGACTCGACTTAAAAATACCCAACAAATTTCCTGTACATAAACACACTCACCTGTACAATGTCCAGCACCAAACCTGCTCCAACTGTCCCGAATCCTGCTATGATATATGGGAGCGCCACCTGGAAAGCTATGCTCCAGCATTTTTCCTCAGACCCATCATCAATGACAGCAGTCCTTGCCACGCTGGTACTGGTACGATCACCATCACCATCATTTTCATTTTCATCATCATCATCATCGGCAAGCAGTGGTGTTGTGAGGCTGGTTGTCATGTCATCATTGTCGGAATCTTCCAACTGGTTGCTGAAAGACGTCCTTGCAAATGCATCCCCATTTGGTAGTTGAGATATTTTTGTATGTATTTCTGCCCTGTCAGACTGTCTGCTGGGTTCTTGGTTCTGATTGGAAGCGGATTCAGAAAAATCCTGAAGTTCCACGCCGACGTCTTGTGAAGTCATTGAAGTGACACGTGGAACCATTATCTTGTCATCACCTTTACGCCGGTTGCGAAGACTATACGCTGCTGCTCCGTAGGATGACATTCTCAACACCCCCTCATAATGTTGCCCAACACAACCAGAAATGAGTTAGATTCCAACCTGAAATATGTCAAACACATCATATCAAAACTAGAACAGCCATAGAACTGTCACAAGTCACTGCCCCAAACGGTGTCCTCCCATTACGCAGACAGCCAGTTCGCAGACACCTTAAAACAACAACATTTATGGTTCAGTGAACAGATTATCTACTACCTGTTACCTACACATTATAATGGAATAGTCCAAATAAAAACACAGGAACAAACTGAAGCTATATTATTTATTTTGAAAGATGGACGAAAAGACAGTAATTTGAATTTTTATTGCTGCAATATAAAAAAATAAATATATTTTCATAAACATTTCGGTTTAACCTTCTAGTCTAACGGGAGTCGGCATCATCATATTGAAAACATTAGCTTAGCTATTGGAAATTGCGACACTGTTGTATCATATAAATCAAATAAAGACAAATGTGAACCTAAATATTATTCATATGGAATAAAGAAGTTATATGTTTTGCACACAATATTAAGATATATGACGAGTGCACTTAATTACAATTTATTTAGAATAAATATTTAAAATATGACGCATCATGTGAATGTGGCCATGGGTGTGAGAATGTTTTTCATTACTTCCTTGAATGTCTATTGTATACTACTCAAAGACACAAACTGTTCCAGTCTTTAGAAAGTATTGTTAAAGTTAGAACACTGATTGGTATTAATCGCATCTTACATGGCAATGCAGGTGTATCATTTACTGTAAATCAGAATGTTTTCAAATATGTACATATCTATATCTCTCCAACAAAACGTTTTCTCAGTTAACTTCTGTTGTACATATGCTATTATTGGGAGGGGTCTTTTCTATCAATAAACACAATCAAACCTCTCAGTGACAAAGCTGTTTTATATTCGATAGTAATTGATAGTAAAATTATTTTTGAGAAGAGAAATCATTTATTATTTAATCACAACAAAGTTCTATTTACCCACAATCAAACTTCTCAGTAACGAACCTGTTTCAGGCTCACCCTACTCTACTCACAAGACAGTTGACTGTTCCATTATACCCGTAGGTGTTACCCTAATTAACCTTCTAGTTCAGTGTCTGTCAATTGGGTGTCTGTCAAATGGGTGTCTGTCAATTGGGAGATAACCCCCCAAACACAATGATCAATAGTATCTGGCAGAATATTAGGCACACTACTCTATATCCTATTGATCTTATAGTTAATTGGATGGTTTTAATTCTAACCTTGAATCTATAATGAAACCTGTGATCGAATGTTCTCCAATTATTCCTCTACTATATTTTGTCCCAATCAATATTAATACCAAAACACATAAGCTTCACAAGTCTTATAACAAACCATGCTAAATGAGATATTCAACACCAAGTCTCCAGCACAGGTGAGTGAGTGAGTTCAGTTTTAAGCTGCTTTTAGCAATATTCCAACAATATCACAGCGGGGGACACCACAATCAGGCTTCACACATTGTGCCCATGTGAGGAATTAAACCCCTGGGCCAACCTCTTCGCAGTGCTGACAAATAAAGGTCTAATTTCACCACCCCTCCAGCACAAGACAGGGGGCTGGTGGGGTATCAAAATCTAGTGGTTAAAGCATTAGTCTAATTGCCCATGTGAGGAATTGAACGGTAAAGCCAGGGTAATCCACCGATCCTCCACACATGGGTACAATAGTGTTAAAGCCCTTTCTGGTGTCCTCCACAAATGGAGTACAATGCCCTTTCTGTGTCCTCCATATATGCTGGAATATTGTTAAAAGCCGCATGTAACTAAACTCACTCACTCCAGCACAAGACAATCTGGATTTAAAGTTTCCCATTTCACGATAGGTTAGGAAATAAGAACATTAAAACATTTTACTGTAAACATTATCACATTTCTTCCCCAATCTGCTTGTCATGAACTCTAGCTCCAGAATCTTCCATGAATCCCTCAAACCATGAAATACACAATGCCATTTAGAAAGTGGTCAAATATAACGTATGTTATATTTGGGATTACACTGTCTTTGTAAAGTACAGATTCTAGTACTTTTGTTGGGTTGAGTCCCAACCAGTTCAAACTGTCATTTCAATATTTCCATCATATTTTGCTGCAGAGTGTTACAAAATATCACATAAAGTACCAGTACTTAACATTTTAACACAAAGGGATTTGTATACCATAATTGGACATATTGCCATCAACATGCAATTGCTTTCAAAAATCATAAAGTTTTATATTAGTCCCATCAGTAATGTTTCTCATTAAACAAGTTTATTGAGAAATGACAACAACCCCTTTTTTTTACAAATAATCCAGTGTTTAACATTCATTATAACTGGTCCATTGCACTAAAATTTGAATCTCAAGGCACACTGTTTGATACAGCCACAAGAGATCCAACTACTAATATGCCTGATGGTCCTCTGGACTACCAACAAGTCTTGTCATCCTTGTGGTTAAAGCATGTACCAAAGACTCAGGATGAGTAAAAACGTCACTAAATATTGAACAGTGTTACTACATTATGAATATAAATCAGCATTTGCGTTAACAAATATATCATGGAGATATAACAGAGCTTGCATTCCATGATGAAAAAAATACCCCCAAAACATCATTTAAATCCTAAGATTCATCAGCAATGATCATGACAAGGCCATTTTGTAACTCTAAATCATTGCAACTAGTGAAAAATTGCTGCTGTGGCATACAGTAATATTACTTCAATTATTCATTGTATCCGTAAACATGGAGGGGCTGTCGGATAGCCTAGTGGTTAAAGCGTTCGCTCGTCACACTGCAGACCTGGGTTCGATTCCCCACATGGGTACTATGTGTGAAGCCCATTTCTGGTGTCACCTGCTGTGATATTTGCTGGAATATTGCTAAAAGCGGCATAAAACCATACCGACTCTAAACATGGACTAGAGTTGTAACATAGACCTGCTCCACTGTGAAAGTACTGACATCATTTTAATAATGAGACAGTTTAGTTTATTGTGAAATTATTATTGAACGTGAAGTTTATGGCTTTCCCACTGATGAGCAGCCTGTCACATGACAGTGAGTCTGACGGTCATAATTGTACGACCGATACATTTTGATGTTCATAGGTTTCTCTTGAAACTGTAGCCTTGAAATGACTAACACTGACAACTTCATTATTACCTGAGGAAATCCTTGATAATTCCATGGATAAACTATTTCTAATAACTTAGACCCTTTAATCTTGATCTCAGCTTTCCAGCATGCAAGCCTGAGAGTTTGGTTGCATGCCCATGCTTGAGGATATACTACACCAATCAGAATCAGCACTTTTCGCAGTAAGACTTCAGGGCAGACTGAATCATTTGACAGCTGTGATTGGGTGATTTTGTGTAAGATTTGTTAGTTTCTTAAAGTACATGCATCCAGTAATTAAAACTGATCATATTTTTTAATATTTAGTGCTGTCATTTTTTACATGACTGAATTATGCTAAATGTGACCACAGGCATTTTCAAACGGTAGACATTTTGTGCGGAACTGGGGTTGGTCCATTTAGCTTCCTGTTCTCAGAAAAGGAAATGGATGAAGTGGTCACTTCTTATATCTTTATTGCTTCCTTAAGGCACACATGTTCATGTAACAGCTGTTGATGGCTTAGTTAATTAAAAATAAAACATAACCTTACCACAGAAGTCAATGGGAAAATATTTGTTTTTCTGTAACCTTGAACTTCCTTAATATCAGCCATCATTGTGAATAAATTTAGAGAAGCACACTATTGCCATGATTAATGTATTGTCGACTGACAGACACAGCAATTCATACAGAATTCACCTCGCTATGTAAATGACACACATAATCACCTTTCAACAATAGCCAACTGATCAATGATGACTAACATGTTATGATCATAGATGCATTATGGACTTACCACATATCTCCTGTCACATCCATCTGTCAGCCATTGACTTTGACTGTAAATTTATTATGACTGACTGACTGAGTTTAATTTTACGCTGCTTTTAGCAATATTCCAGCAACATCACGGCAGGGGACACCAGAAATGGGCTTCACACAATGTACCCATGTGGGGATTCGAACCCTGGTCTTCGGCGTGACAGCCAACGCTTTAACCACTAGGCTACCCCACCGCCCCAAATTTATTATGATGCCCTATGACTGTGACAGACATGAGTTATCAAGAAACCTTCTTCATGCCGTCATTGGTAATGATGTTTTTGTGTGTATCTATTTCTTGGAACGAAACATTGCTTGTTCGTTTGTTTTTAATGCTGCACTCAGCAATATTCCTGCTATAATGTAGCAGGAAATAATGAATTTTGTATGAATTATTATTCCATGATAGCCCCGTTCCTAAAAGCAATCGTTGCGCTGAGATGATCATAAGTCCCATATTTTAACGTTAGACTTACGACTGTCATAGGGATATGATCGCTTTGAGGAATTCGGCCCTGGTCTGTAAATAAATGAGTCTGGACCAGACAATCCAGTGATCAACAGCATGAACATGATCTATGCAAATGACATTCGATGACATGTGTCAGCCAAGTCAGTGAGCCTGACCACCCAATCCCGTTAGTCGCCTCTTATGACTAGCTGATGGTTGGATGTGGACCAATTCTAACCCAGATCTTCAGAGGTTGTAACGAAACTACAAAAGACATTACTGTAGAGAAATTCAAGTATTCATACCCTTGTGTCACCTCTCCTTTTGATCAACGTTTCTAATATGTGATACAGTATGTTGTAAGGTAGTCAGAGTAAACATAGACTCACACATGTGAAATTGAGTTTAACGTTGTGCTTGAGAATATTTCGCTCATATGACGACGTGGATGCATGTGTATGTGTATGTGGATGTGCGGCTGCTTGTACCAGCCCAGACTTAAGCTGGTGTTATAGTGCTAGCCCACTGAGATACCACGCCGCAATGAAGCATGAATACCCCACTCGGACACATTATACTGACTCCGAGCCGACCAGTCCTTGCTGTGCCCATTAATATCGAGCGCCAGGCAGGGTCCAACAAGTACCATATTTTAAAGTCTTTTGGTATGACGAACCCGCGACCTTCTGCTCTCCGGTCGGACGCTCTAACCACTACACCACGGAGGCGGTCCCATATTAAATGACATTGTGTATTATTTCTTTCAGGAATAAAATGATAAAAGTGGCAAGAATGGTAAAATATCATATGGACAAGCACTGACTTTCCCTTTGTGTTATCTGACGTTCACCATGTTCACAGAGAGAGGGCTAAACATTACAAGTTTGGCCCTCAGTCTGTAAAGGTTCACACTTCATTCATGAACTCTGTAAAGTTAGAATCAATTCCAAAATTCACAAACTGCAACAGGCAGACTCTCTAATATTTAAATTTAAATTATCACTTGGTCAGAGGGTCAGGATGACCCTTTGTTTTATCTAAAAAGACCCAAAAGGAACAAAATACTTGACTCTAAAAACACCAGAAAAGTGCCCAGTGTTATATAATTATGCACCAATTCATGAGTGAGTTGGGTTTTACACGGCTTTTAACAATATTCCAGCAATATCACTGCGGGGGACACCAGAAATGGGCTTCACACATTGTACCCATTTGGGGAATCGAACCTGGGCCTTCAGTGTGATGAGCGAACGCTATAACATGTTTAACCACTAGGAACCCCACCGCCCCTCCGATTCATAAACCAATGGTGATGTTGATGTGACAGCTTACAATAATGACATTTTCAACACTGAGACGGCAACATCTAGAATCTTATGAGAATTTTGTAAGCACATCAGATCAATCCTATCAATGATGGGATCACATGCACAAAATGTCCATTTCATTAACATTTTGCAACCCTTACAAAAAGATTCAGGAAAATATCCAGGATTCAATATACAATGATACATGATGATTACAGGATGGCCATCTTGAACCACGAAACCACAAAAACAATAAATGTTAACAATGTTACACATAATTACTGAATGTCAGAATTTACAACCATGTTTACAGAACATGAATAATCTCCATGTAATTATAGTAATAGGCTAACTTGACATTCAACATGACTGTAATATATGGAGAGAAACAAAGGATCACAGGAAAATTTGAGCGTTCCTTTATTATTTTCCAGTTTTATCAACACAGGGCTATTCAAAGCTGATGATGAAAAATGAAAAATTTTAAGGAACGCTTGAACTTTCCTGTGATCCTTTATTTGTTTCTCTCAGTATATGTTACATGACAACACTGGTATTTCAGAAAATTATGCTTACATCTTTCCTCTTCCACACGTTTTACTCCGTTTATTGAATGCCAGCATCTGTCAACCACTGCACTAGTCATACATATTCGTATCAGTATACATGTATAGTTGTCTGAATGAGCCAATCAATAGCCACATCTGTGTCACATGATGGGTAGTAAGCATTGTCAGTGTTTCAACTGCTTCAACACAGACGTAGGACAGGCACAGCAGGATGTTCCTGATGTCGAAGGAGCCATTTTGTATACCATATATTTATTTGGTACTATACCCACCTCATGCTGCACCATTGTATGAGTGAGTGAGTTGAACTAACATGGGATTCTGAATAGTGAGTGAGTGAGTTGGGTTTTACACCGCTTTTAGCAATATTCCAGCAATATCACAGGGACACCACAAATGGGCTTGATATATGGTACCCATGTGGGGAATCGAACTCGGGTCTTCAGCGTGACAAGCAGACGCTTTAACCACTGGGCTACCCCACCGCCCCAGGATTGTGAATAGCTCGAGATTGTTGCATTTATATAGTGATATGCGCTCATGTGTGTCTGCTTGTACTAGTCTGGACTATAATGCTTGTTCTATAATTTCAGACTAGAGTGAGTGTGTGATACCGCTTATAGCAATATTCCAACAATGTTGCAGGGGACACCAGAAACGTGCTTTAGACATTGCGCCCATGAGGAGAATCGAACCCGGGTCTTCAGTGATTTTACCATTAAGCCTCATAAGAACTCCCATACTTTAACATAGGCTTATGACAGTGGTAGTGCTGCAATCGCTTTGGGCTTTGGGACCAGTGGCCAAAGTCACAGAGGCCTTTCTTGACACCCACAAGCATCATCGGTTATTTAGCTGACAAACCAACAATCATATCCAAGATTCAAACCCAAGATTTTGTCCTGAAAGTTTCAGATTTGGAAATGGGTAAAGATTTTGAAGAATGACCTATCAAAAGTTAATAACAAAATGAAAAACAACTTACGGCATTTATCTCCAGCAAAATCAAAATTCCTATGGTGAGCAGACGTGAAGCACTGTTGGTCCTAGTCAAATGCATTTATCAGTGTAATACTATACTTCAATAGCTTCCAGTTCCATGCTGGAATGTACCATAGCTTGTCATGTTTATAGTCTCTAAGTGAAAGTAATAATCACAGTCCAAATTGCCTGAAGTCTGTAATTATGGTTCATACAGATACGATTCATGTTAATAAGAGGCCATTTTGATGTTTTTTCTGCAGAAAGTGAACCAGCTGACTGACTGACTGAGTTTAGTTTTACGCCGCTTTTAGCAATATTCCAGCAATATCACGGCGGGGGACACCAGAAATGGGCTTAACACATTGTGCCCATGTGGGGAATCGAACCCGGGCCTTCGGCGTGACGAGCCAACGCTTTAACCACTAGGCTACCCCACCGCCCCTGAACCAGCTGAACCTGTGTGAATTTTTTTTACACGCATAACCCAATTTGGACTTTCAGTACCATTTCTTACAAATATGTATTTTAAATATTTATGGACCATTATTAGAAGCAGAGCTTAATGAGTAAGTTTAGTTTTACACCATTTTTAGCAATATTCTAGCAATATCAAGGCAGGGGACAAACATTGTACCCATGTGGGGAATCGTATCTGGGTCTTCAGTGTGAGAAGTGAATGCTTTAACCACTAGCCTACCCCACACCCACCATAGCTCAAAGGACCTAAGTCTATTTTTTTCTATAAATTTGTTTTTTTGAAATAGTGGTTATAGTCTCAGACTGCTACCATTAAATGAAATATGTCTTGATTTCAAGTATTATCATCCAGATATTTATGAACAAAACCATAACTGGTGGACATAACCAACAAGTGACACAGAGGACTGATAGCCCCTTTGCTTTTCTGCTGAAACAGTCTATAAATATCCACTATCTCAGTGAGTGAAATTCACAACCATACTTACCCCATACATGCAGTCTTACATACAAGAGGACTTGGACTACAAACTAGAGGCTAGTGTCATAGGTTGAATATAAATTACTTGATGAGCATCTTGACTTCATGATATGACAGATTATTTGCAGCAATATGAAAGAGTTCGGTACTTCTTAAGGCCACACTTTTTGGGCACTTGGTTTGCCTGTTTTACACAGAAATACACCTGTCAGTACTTGAAAATAGTTCCTTTTATTTTCTCCATTTATCGGTCCTTCCTCAAAAAAACATTTGGTGATCACTGGATTGTATGGTCCAGACTTGATTATTTACAGACCACCGCCATATAGCTGGAATATTGCTGAGTGCTGCGCAAAACTAAATTCACTCACTCAGAGAACATTTCTTTTGTGCCAAATACTATCAGCTTACTGGTGCTATACACAAAAAGAAATTCAGACTTTCTATTTTATTTCAACAATATTTACAGTAGGTGAATCCCTTAAGCATGTTATAAAAATATGGCCTAAACTTTTCTCACAGTATAAATCAGTATTGTTACAGTAAAAACATAAATATTCGCTAATAAATCATGAATCAGTATCTTGATATTCAACAACATCTCAAGTATTTGGTTCACACACATTCTTCATGAAAACAATGTAAAGACTGACTGACTGAGTTTAGTTTTACGCCGCTTTTAGCAATATTCCAGCAATATCACGGCGGGGGACACCAGAAATGGGCTTAACACATTGTGCCCCTGTGGGGAATCGAACCCGGGTCTTCGGCGTGACGAGTCAACGCTTTAACCACTGGGCAACCCAACCGCCCACAATGTAAAGAAACCCAATGATAGTTAAGATGGTTAAATAATCTCAAGGCCATATATAGAGAATACTACCCTCGGTCTCATTACATACGAATTATACGAAACGAGTGTCCTTCCTATGGTATCTGACCGTATAATTCGTATGTAATGAGACCGAGTGTAGTATTTTATTTATTACCCACGTCTTACATGCATTAAATTGACAAAATAGCGTATTTTTGTTACTTTTTGGTTTCATACCGGTTCATAAAGAGGTTGCGGAAGAGTTTTGTACTGTAGTACAATATTTGCATGACGTCACACTGTAATGACGTCACTGCCTTGGTAACCGACATCACAATGCATGTCAGTTGTCATCGCCTCGTACAGCCTCCTACAGTAAACTACTCCGTAGCACCCCGTTTCTTGGTTTGCAGTTGCTTTATTCGGCTAACATCACTGGTGGAAACATTACGTTTATGTTTTTCGACGGATATAATGTCTCAGTTCGACTCACAATTAATCAGCGACACAGCAAAGTTCGCAATGTTTACATTCCCACAATGCATTTAAGTTGTAGAATGAATGAATTCACGTGTTTGTTATGAATGAAAAAATAGTTACGTCAGAATGTGACCTAATTGAGAGGTCATCGGTTATCCAATCAAGTCCGTACTCCTTATTTTTTCAATATATGAGTACTGGAAAACAATAAGAGTACATTTTGAGTACTGAATGGAATTTAATGGTGTATCATTAAACTTGTGCTTCGTTTCATATATGCATGACAGCATTGCTACTCTGGTGTAAACGGTCAATAAACAATTAAACAATACTTTTTCAGATAAATATGTCTGTAAATGTTTCTAAGACCGTACACAATTGCTGTGGTGCGTATCTGCTACGTTTTCTAAATTATTTCCTACCGTATCGTGTATATTTTTTATCCGTACATACGCCGATACGGCCCTTATCTGTAGTCCTGTTTTGTTAAGCGTGTCCACTGATGCATTCTTTTCCTGAAGGTGGCGTACAATTGTAAATGAATTTTAATAATGGACGTCAATTCTTTGATCTGTACTCTAGAAGTTGGTAAGTCAATAATAAAACATAACAGCGAAAGAATCTACAACGAAACGTCGCTCTATGCAGTAATAAGAAGTTGTTATCCATAAACTCACATGCTTCGTCTAGGTGGTAAGTCCTTTTCAACCCTGAAAATAAACTTCCTTTTATTTAAAACCATTCGTAATAAACAAAAACGCAAACAATTATAAAACATATTTGAAATATAGATTGACCAATGGCAGACTGATTTTGTTGTTGTCTGAATGTTATTTTGAACAACTTGTCAACCTTCAGGGAGCGGCATGGCGACGGTCACGTGACCTCATTAGATACTATTTATAATGTTCGTAATTTAACTATGTGCTGTAGCTGCATAAGCAGAATAACATGAGTATTACGGATATCAAAATTATAGGACCACTTAGAATGCATTTCAAGAGTAGGGAAAAGATCGCCTCTTGACCTTTTCAGCCGTTCACAGCTGCTGATGTTTGTCGCTTTCCTCGTATCGTGTCAACAGGGCCCCGTTCCTCAAAGCGATCGTAGCGCTACGACAGTCGTAAGTCTATGTTAAAGTATGGGAGTTACGATCACCTTTGCGCTACGATCGCTTTCTGGAACCGTTCCTCAAAGAGATCGTAGCGCTACGACAGTCGTAAGTCTATGTTAAAGTTGGGAGTTACGACTGTCGTAGCGCTACGATCGTACACAGGCCATGGTCAGGGACAAAGCCCAAGACGTCAGCATCGCCAGATATGACGTCACGCAGCAGGTCTGGCAGCCCCCGAGCCGTTCCCGGCTGATAAATAGAGAATACTACACGAGGTCTCATTACATACGAATTATACGAAACGAGTGTCCTTCCTATGGTATCTGACCGAGCGAAAGCGAGGTCAGATACCATAGGAAGGTCACGAGTTTCGTATGATCTGCATGTAATGAGACCGAGTGTGGTATTTTATTTCTTACCCACTTCTTACATGCATTAAAATTGACCAAATAGCGTATTTTTGTTATGTTTTTGGTTTCAAACCGAAACCGGTTTCATAAAGAGGTTGCGGAAGAGTTTTGTACTGTAGTACAATATTTGCATGACGTCACACTGTAATGACGTCACTGCCATGGTAACCGACGTCACGATGCATGTCAGTTGTCATCGCCTCGTACAGCCTCCTACAGTAAACTACTCCGTAGCACCCCGTTTCTTGGTTTGCAGTTGCTTCATTCGGCTAACATCACTGGTGGAAACATTGCGTTTATGTTTTTCAACGGATATAATGTCTCAGTTCGACTCACAATTAAACAGCGACACGGCAACGTTTGCAATGTTTACATTCCCACAATGCATTTAAGTTGTAGAATGAATGAATTCACGTGTTTGTTATGAATGAAAAAATAGTTACGTCAGAATGTGACCTAATTGAGAGGTCATCGGTTATCAATCAATCAAGTCGTTACGACACAGGTCAACGCGATACGACGCTCGTGTGACGTACGAGATTAGTATGCAACTACCCATACGTTGACCACGTGGGTAATAAAGTGTTTTATTACCCACGTGGTCAACGTATGGGTAGTTGAATTACTAATCTCGTACGTCACACGTGTCGTATCGCGTTGACCTGTGTCAACGACTTGACTTTGAGATTGTTATTAATGGTGTCTTAAAAGTCCAATAACAATAGACACATTCACAATAGCTTCCAACTGTAACACTGATGAATAACAATAAAATTTTCAGAGGATGCAAATTGAAAATATATTGGGTGCAATATTTATGTTGATAGAAATATCTTTTTAGATTAGTCTGACATGAATGGCAACAATTACAGCTGGATCAATTCATAATTTATCATAGTTTTCTCCCCTTACACATGATCATAATCTCTTACCTGTTACATGAGTTACATCTACAACTATGCCATTATGAAATACCTTTCTATTATTCAGTTAAATCCATCAATGTGTATGTATTACAGCTGTCTCTTTTTTCATCCATCATTTACACAACACAAAAGCATGAAACAATTTCATTTACATTCATGTCTGTCAATTCTTGTGCTGTTTGGGCAAGGTACTTCGCAAAACCTGGGAAGATATTCAACAAATGAAAAAGTTCCAGCTAATCAGTGCCAATGTTTGAAATGATGGAATACTGTAAATTGTTCAATCATTTTTTATCATCATACATGAATTTACAAAGTCCAAACTTTTCAAGTTCAAGTTTTCTGTTCAATGGTTCTATTTTGTCAACCTTTTCCTTGAGTTGCCTCTCGTGTTCATGTAATTTTGATGGAGTTGTTCTATGTAGGACTGGGGTCAGTGGCTGCTGTATCACTCTCTGCTTCACTGTAATATAAGCATTGTAAAGCATCACTATTATCTCTTCGACCACACAACAATAAATATATCTCTGGAATTACAAATAT